CTTCACGGGGGGTGTAAGGGCCTGCCTCCCCCCCTGCCCCCAGCAGCCCGGCTCTCCTGCACCCTTTGGCCCCGCAGCTGCTTGGCCCAGGCTGGGGACAGGGGGGTCCATGCTGGTGCGTTTCAGACTCTGAGCTGGGACATGTCTCCGCTCTGTGCCCGAGGACAAGCCCCACTGCATCTGGGGCTGGGCGTGGAGCGGGGAGGGAGGTGGGGAGAGAGGCGCGGGCAGGATCCGGCCCTGAGCGCGGGGTCAGATTTGCATGGAGGGGCCGTGCTCCGGGCGGGGGGGGGCTTAAAAGGGAGTTGGGGTCCGCGACACAGCCCCATCGGCGTGGGGACGCAGAGCTGGTGGGATCGCGCCATGGCCTGGGCCCCTCTCCTCCTCGCGGTGCTCGCCCATGGCTCAGGTACCCTGTCCAGACTCGCTGCGCCCGGCCGGGGCCTTTGGGCACACGGGTCCCTCCCCGTCCCGCTGCCCGGGGAGGGCTGTGCTCATGGGGCACTGGCTGACCCCCGTCTTCTCCCCTCTCTCCTCTCCCTCTCCAGGTTCCCTGGTCCAGGCAGCAGTGACTCAGCCGCCCTCGGTGTCAGCGAACCCGGGAGAAACCGTCAGGATCACCTGCTCCGGGAGCAGCAGCTACTATGCCTGGTACCAGCAGAAGGAACCTGGCAGTGCCCCTGTCACTGTCATCTATGCTAATGACAAGAGACCCTCGGACATCCCTTCGCGATTCTCCGGATCCAAGTCTGGCACCACGGGCACGTTAACCATCAGTGGGGTCCAAGCCGAGGACGAGGCTGTCTATTTCTGTGGTAGCTACGACAGCAGCAGTGATGCTGGTCAGGGTCACGGTGATGCTGAGATTAGTTTTTTCCCCTCCTTTTCCTTGCTACGCCTTCCCCTGCGTGGGGAAGAGCTGCGGAGAGTAGGCAGTTCTCACCCTTCGGGCTTGTAGCTGTTGTGGCTCTGCTTCCGCAGGGTTTTGTCTGCCTTTCTGTCTTGATGCCGCCTCCCCTCTGGTGCCCATGCTGTGCTGGAGGTGCCCCCATTCCCTCTGTCACACAGCCTCCCATGCAGCTTCTCACCGACTGGGGACCCCCTGCCCTGCAGCCACCAGCTGCTGGCCTGGACGGGCCCCATTTGGGGCATGGGCAGGGGTGTCTGCAGCCTGCCGCAAACACTGGGTGCCCCCGGCGGGCCGTGCCCCTGGGCTGCCTGGTCTCAGTGACAGGGATGAGGTGTGCCCTGAGCGGCGGCGGGCAGGGAGAGGTCCAGGCTCTGGCTACAGCCACCCCTCAGGGAGTGCCTGGGCTTGGGGCTGCACCCAGGGTGTCCCATCCATGTGCTTGCGGGCAGAGGAGTCCCATCACTGTCCCGCTGCCCGGGGAGGGCTGTGCTCGTGGGGCACTGGCTGACCCCCGTCTTCTCCCCTCTCTCCTCTCCCTCTCCAGGTTCCCTGGTCCAGGCAGCAGTGACTCAGCCGCCCTCGGTGTCAGCGAACCCCGGAAACCGTCACAGGATCACCTGCTCCGGCTAGCAGCGGCAGCTATGATTATGTTGGCTGGTACCAGCAGAAGGAACCTGGCAGTGCCCTTGTCACTGTCATCTACGATAACACCAAGAGACCCTCGGACATCCCTGCGCGATTCTCCGGGTCCAAGTCTGGCACCACGGGCACGTTAACCATCAGTGGGGTCCAAGCCGAGGACGAGGCTGTCTATTTCTGTGGTGGCAATGATGGCAGCGGTGATGCTCTTTTAGTGACACAGGGAGATTTGCAAGTGAGGTACAGAGGCGTTAAAAATGGAGTTTTTTCTGCCCTTCTCCCTCATGGACGAGCAGAGTTGTGGATGTTGGGCTGGGGCAGGTTTCTGTCCCCTCTGCAGGACCATGGCTATGAATGTGCACCCTTTTGTGTCCTAGAGCACTGGAGGTGACTTTGTGGCTGGGGACTCTTGTCCTGGTCCCTACAAAGTTCGCAGTGCGGCCCTGTCTGCCACCCTACTGCCCCTTGCTGCTGATGACCATGTCCTGCTGCTGCCGCCAGAGCTGCCTCTGTGCTGGGATGCACTGTGTAGGGATCAGCTCCGAAATCTGCCTGTGACTGTGCCCAGGTCTGTTCTCATCCGACTGTGGCATTCCCTGTCCCGCTGCCCGGGGAGGGCTGTGCTCGCGGGGCACTGGCTGACCCCCGTCTTCTCCCCTCTCTCCTCTCCCTCTCCAGGTTCCCTGGTCCAGGCAGCGCTGACTCAGCCGCCCTCGGTGTCAGCGAACCCGGGAGAAACCGTCAGGATCACCTGCTCCGGGGTTAGCAGCGGCAGCTATGATTATGTTGGCTGGTACCAGCAGAAGGAACCTGGCAGTTCCCTTGTCACTGTCATCTACGATAACACCAAGAGACCCTCGGACATCCCTGCGCGATTCTCCGGGTCCAAGTCTGGCACCACGGGCACGTTAACCATCAGTGGGGTCCAAGCCGAGGACGAGGCTGTCTATTTCTGTGGTGGCAATGATGGCAGCGGTGATGCTCTTTTAGTGACACAGGGAGATTTGCAAGTGAGGTACAGAGGCGTTAAAAATGGAGTTTTTTCTGCCCTTCTCCCTCATGGACGAGCAGAGTTGTGGATGTTGGGCTGGGGCAGGTTTCTGTCCCCTCTGCAGGACCATGGCTATGAATGTGCACCCTTTTGTGTCCTAGAGCACTGGAGGTGACTTTGTGGCTGGGGACTCTTGTCCTGGTCCCTACAAAGTTCGCAGTGCGGCCCTGTCTGCCACCCTACTGCCCCTTGCTGCTGATGACCATGTCCTGCTGCTGCCGCCAGAGCTGCCTCTGTGCTGGGATGCACTGTGTAGGGATCAGCTCCGAAATCTGCCTGTGACTGTGCCCAGGTCTGTTCTCATCCGACTGTGGCATTCCCTGTCCCGCTGCCCGGGGAGGGCTGTGCTCGCGGGGCACTGGCTGACCCCCGTCTTCTCCCCTCTCTCCTCTCCCTCTCCAGGTTCCCTGGTCCAGGCAGCACTGACTCAGCCGCCCTCGGTGTAGATCGGAAGGGCGTCGTCGAGGAAAGAGCGCAGATC